CACCCTTAATTGCTGCCATTCCAGTTGCTGCCGGCTGTCATTCGGCTGTCACTCCTCTGCCCATCATCTTCAGAGGGGGAAAAGGGGGGGGCAGGAGGGGGGGAGAGCCCCCAGCCAGCCCTGCCCCCACCCTCCCCCACCCGCCTCTACCAGAAGTCCCGGCGGTGGTAAGAGTCGGGGTCACAGTATTTTGTGACAACCACTCTGTTGGCGAACTTGCGGCCCGTCAGGCCCTGCATGGCTTTCTGGCAGTCAAACACAGAGGTGAATTCCACAAAGATCTGTGGGGAACAAGAGGCAGGTTTGTGAACAAGGCTCACTCCCAGCGACCAGCCAACATCCATCCAAGCCCAGGACTCAGTGCACAGCACAAAGTGGCAGACTGGGAAAGAGGGCCTCACAACAGGCTTCAGAAAAGGACCCTTAGCGCAGGTTTGGCAGAGTTCACCCAAACATCCTCCAGGATGAAAGAACAAGAGCACAGATAAAAGAACAGAGACCCCATAAGACACAGAACAGAAGCATGGCTGAGTGTCAACTGAGGCACACAGGGCAAGTGATGGGAGACAAGAGCCTAGCTCCCAAGAGAAGAGAGGGGCCACTTGTGTTGAATGTCACTCGGCACCAGCCACCACAGCAGGTACTTCTGGACCCACCCCAAGGACCATGCTCTCCCCAGACAACAGATGAGGATGGGAAGCTCAGAAATTAGGATTCAAGCCCATGTTGAACAGAGAGGGAAACTTAGTTTGAGCCTTCATCTATTCAGGCTTCTAATCCTGCTTGAACCACCAGTTTATGGGAAAACGGAGAAAAGGAAGGATACAATGAGCCTACTTAAAACATGGGAAATTCCATACAACAAATGACCCTATTTCTTCAACAAGTAAAATGGCTTACAAAAGAAAAGGGGGGACAAAATACAATTGATAAATTGGAAGAAATTTTGTAAACAAATTTGAAGCGGGGACCTTGTTTGGAAGCAAACTAACTGTAAAAAGTACATTTTTGAGACAGTAAATTTGAACATGGATTAGGTATACAATAAGGAATTAATGTTAATTTTGTAACACAGTGATGGTATTGTGGTTTTGTTAAAATTTTTTAAAAAGGTTCTCCGGTTAGAGCTGTAGTTCTCAACCAGGGGCAAATGTGCCCCCAGGGGACATGAAGCGAAGTCTGGAGATGCTTTAGATTGTCACAAAGACGGGTGTAGCAGTTCTGACATCTAGTGGGAAGAGGTTTGGGATAAGCTAAACATCCTGCAACGCACAGCACAGACCCCCACAGCAAAGAGTTAACCCCAAATGTAAGTAGTTGAGAAATTAGAGAAATATACCTAAGTATCTCAGGTGAAATATATCTGAGATATGCGTTAACATACTCCAGCAAAAAGGCGGGGAATAAGATGAATATAGAAACTAAGAACAAAATATCAGTAACTTAGAAGCTCGGTGATGGAGCACTATATTAATAATATTACTACATATACTATAATACAAATAATATATCACTATTACAGTCTCTTGCTTTTAAGCATGTTTTAAAAGACTCATAATAAAAAGCTTAAGAGTAAAACAGGAATAGGATGCAATAAATTTTAAAACAGGTCCTCTGATAGCAAAGCCAGGGTGTTTCCATTCATTCTTCCCAAGAAGTGTTCACTCAGCCTATGCTTCACCAGGCTCTATCCCAAAGCAAAGGAAAGCGGGGATGGGGGGGGAGCTCCAGGAAAAGGAAAAGAGAGTAGATGCTGTGGACGCTCCTCCTCACACCCCCTCCCCCGGCCCTCTGCCCACTCACAACCCTGTGTACTTTCCACCTGCCCAGCCACCATATTCCCACCCTAGCCCTGTCTCCCGGGCAAGCTCATGCCGTCCAACATGCAAATCAAGGTCAGTCTCTCAATGACTGTTTCCATCAGCCCTTATGCTGGGACAACAGATCTGTCCACCTAACTGCTTCCTGGACATCTCTACCGAGTGTCTCAGAAACCCCAAAGCCAGGTGGCCCCACTTTGACCTCCCCCCTCCCAAAACTGTTCGTCACCCTTGCGTGTCAACTGCCATTCTCCGGGTCATGGAGCTGCCACTCTGAGCATCTCACTGATCTCCCTCCCCCTCCCAACAGACGCAAACCAATCACACCCAGGGCACTTTACAGGCTCATGTCTCTCAGATCCATCAACTTCTCTCCATCCCTGCTACTACTTTAAATCAGGTCACCATCTTTCACCCAGATTATTCCAAGAGACCTCCCTCGTCCATCTTCCAAACAGCCAAAATCACCTAAAAAAATATGACCACAGCCCTATTCTCTCCTTTAAAAACCAACTACTCCAGGGAGAAGCCACAAGGCACCCTGACCCTTCCGCAGCAGGCACCTCGACGCCATGCACTGGCCAGAGGCTCTCGCTGGTATTGAGGAGCCCGTACTTGCTGCACTCCCCTCATCATGAATTAACAAGGCCCTCCCCAATCTGGCCCTGCATAGCCAGCATCCTCTCTGGCAAAACGGGCTCTCCCACCACCTGGGCAGCACTGACTCTACCAGCTCCTGGCCAACCTCAGATGCCCACAGCTGGCCCTCAGCCCTCCCCCTGCTCAACCTGCAGGGCTCAGCTGGGCAGGGCCAGGGTAAGTGCCAGCTCTGCGCCCACCCCCACCCCCACCCCCACCCCCTTATGATAAGCAGCCATCTCTATCTGCCAGCTTCCTTCCCATGTGATTGAGACCCACATGGCCCCCCAGGCCCTCCTCACCCTGCCCCAGCATCTTTCTCACCCACTCACTGCCTCAAGAACTCTGACCCCCCAATCTGAAGACCGCACCAAGGAGTCCTGGCCCCGCAACTACTCCAGGTGGCGCACATGACAGCTCACAGCCACGTTCCCAGAACTGCTGCTGCTTGAGGGCAGGAAGGGCTTCTGTTCCCTGCTGAACCCTCAGCACCTAGATCAGAGCCTGCCCACAGCGGGAATTTCATAAATACACCCAGCAAGGGATGAAAGAACAGAGGTCACGGGCCTCACCACCACCTCACGAGGAGGATGACATGAGGTAATTACACCCAGCATAAGACCAGAGGCAATCTTTGTGGGCTCAGAAATCAGACTGCAAGAACCTGAAACCTGCCTGTGTGATCTGTCAGCTGCTCTCACAAAGGGGCGTAGGAGCTACTGGGAGAACTCGGGCTGGTACAGGCACAGCTTCAGCAGAGCACCTTGCAAACAGGAGACACCAGCAGGTGTGGCCATGACTATTTCGAGGACTTCTCCCCGACTTCACAGACAAGGCAAATGCAATTGCACGAAGTCACATAACAACAGAGAGGCAAAGCCAAGTTTTGAACCTAGTTGCTTCTCAGCCACAACAGCTGTGTCCCCAGCTTCTCTCTTACATGTGGGCCCTGGACCCCACTAGGCCACACACTTCTCTGGGCCACCAACATCTCCCACAGACAGGCCTGAGGGGGCACTCAAAGGTGGTGTGTGTACATGTGTGTACCTTCAGAGGGAGGGAGAGAGAGAGGAAAAGAGAGGGACAAGGAGATACATGTGCCAAGCCCGGAGTGCCCTGACCTTTCCGCATCCGGGCACCTCGACGCCATCCACGGGCCGGGGGATCTCAATGGACTTGACCAGCCCGTACTTGCTGCACTCATCTCGCACGTCCTCCACAATCTCCTCATACTCCTCGTCATCCAACAGCTCCTCGGGCAGCACCATGTTCATGAGGCACAGGACCTCAGTCGGGTGGCCGCCCATCTGCACCTGGGAACTCATCAGGCCTGGCACTTGCAGGGTCACAGGCGTCTGATTGATGGTGCTCTGTGGGGCAGGGGGCAGAGGCGTCACAGGGGGCCCAGACCCAGCCTCCCTCTGCTCAAGCCTGCTCCCCTCAGATGCCCACCTGGAGAAACGCCGTCCCTCCACTTGAACACCTCATCACACTACCCCCCAGGGATGTACCAAATGCCCTCAAATCTCCTCCCATGAAAGCTGGGGCAGAGCTCAAAACAACCTGCCCCAGCCAGCCCCTTCCCACCCCCAGGGTCCCTCTAACCAATGGAAGATGACGTGCCGGGGGGCTCACCAGCGTGGCATTCTTGGCTCCCACACTCGCCCTCTGGACAAGCAGCTTCTTATCCCCCAGCTGCATCCCATTCAGCCCCGCGATGGCCTGCGTTTGGAGGATGAGGGGTGGGAAGGGGTGCAGGGGAGAGATGGGATCAGGACCCAGAGGCCGACACCTCCCCGCAAGCCCCCGCAAGCCGGGGCATTGGTGGGGAAGAGGGGAAGGCAAAGGGTTTAAGAGCTTGGAAAGAGCCAAAACCAAGGGCAAGGGGAAGAGCCCCACACGCAGCACACTGCTTCAGGCTGGCCGCCTCCCGCCCCATCCCCTGAGGAGGGGAAACCTTGGCTTGGAAACAGCGCAGGGCAGGGAAGGGCAGATGTGGCAACTGGGCAGGGACCGGGGACTCACCTGATCTGTGACGTTGATGTCCACGTACTCACAGAAGGCGTAGCCCTTGGAGAGCCCCGTGGCACTGTCCTTGACCAGGTTGAAGGCCTTGAGAGGCCCAAACGATGTCAGCAGCTCTTTCACCTGCAGCGGGCCAAGAATCTATCAGGGCTGGGTGGGCACCAGCAGTGGGGAGGGGCTGGGAAGGAGGCAGGAGCCTTACCTGGTCATCATTCAGGTAGTTGGGTAAGCCCCCGATGAACAGCTTGTGCGCAGAGTCAGGGACCACAGTGGACACAACTCCTAACGGCAGATAGAAAAAAAGGACTTCAATTCCAGTAGAAGGTCACCTCCCAAAAGCCCAGGGGAAGATCTACAGGGTGAGCCCATCACTGGCAGACCAGGACACTCCCCGCCTGAGGTGGGTAGGAGGGACTGCACACTCACCCTCCCTCCTCATTCTGAGATGAGGAGGAGACGTGGGCAATGGCACACCACGGCTCCCCAGCGAGAGAATGCACTGTATCTCCCAGACCTGTCCAGCCTCAGAGGAACCTCAAAATAGAGGCATCCCCCAGAACACCAAGGGCACAAAGACCTGCATTCACACACCTATCTGCCACCTGCTGCTGGGCGACGTTGGCAGGTCACCTTCACTCTGAACCTGCTGGTGAGTCACAATACATTGGACCCCTTCCTCACCCCTCAGGTGCCTTTCACCAACAACCACCCAGGTAAGCCTGCCTGTTAAATCTCTCAGTCCTTTCCCTTCACAGCACCAGTTCATCTGTGCCACTGCAGGAGTGGGTCTGTGCTCACAGGGGTGGCATGAGCTCAGAGGCCACTCAGTGAGTCTCAGAACAGTGTCCCCAGTGTTGGCTGGTATCATCCCAGTGGTGACTGCTGGCTGTGGCTGGGATGCTGGATTCGATGGCCACAAGGGCTGAGAAGTCACAGTGTGGTCATACCAGCAGAGTTTAACAGCTCCCAAACCACTGAACTCTGGACTCACAGACAACAGCCTGCCACATGGGATGGTTGATAGTTCAACCTGACTCCCACGGGCTTCACAAATCCATCATTTCATTCTCGGAGCCATCCTCTTAGATGTGAGCTATGTAAGGCCCCGGTACCCATCCAGCCTGACTCCCAAGTTCAAAGCCCAGCCCTGTGGCCTCCCTTTCCTCTGCAGCCCCTACACCCAGTGGGCATGGCCCCATCCTACCTCCATCCTGATCTTGGGAAGGAACAGATAAGACAGGAAATGGCAAAGAGCCTCAGCAGCTGAGCCGCTGTGCCCCTGGGAGGAAAGGGAGGCAGCACCCCATCCACCCTCCAGGCTCACATCTGCCCCAGTGCACCCTCTCCCACCACCGACCCCGGCCCCCCAGCCCCCACAAAACTGGAGGCACCACCCAAGCCAGCTCCAACCATCAGAAGTGAACCCAGCAGAGCGGGGCCACACAGACCATGGGAGACACAGCCTGTGTGTCACCAGGACAAGCACAAGTAACCTGGGGACAGGAACAGCTACTGAGCACTCGCCATAGGCCAGGGACCATGCCGCGCTCCTTCTGTTACCACAATGTTCCCAAAAGCCCTATCTGAAGTACAAAAGGAATAAACTGAGGTATAGAATGAAGTCACAAAGGCAGAAAAAGGAAACCTCCCGAACTCACACTCAACCACGACTCTCCACGGGTAGCTGGGCAGGCTAAAAGCTCTAATCACTGGGCACGTCCCAGGAAGTAGCACAGGGCCGAGGGTGTGAGAGTCAAGTCAAGTTCCCTGGGTTCAAGTCGTGGTTGTACCCTCTGGGGCTCCAAGGGCCTCAGGAATCTTCATCGGTAGAACAGGGAGAACGCTAGTGCCCACTGCACAAGGTGCGTGCATGAGAACAATTCATGCCAAGCGTGTATTTAACACCGGGCCTAAGAACAGGCACAGGAGTCCCCACAGCTGGGGTATTTGCTAGACTCCCTGCCCACAACAGGGCCAGGCCAGCCCAGCCCAGACAAGCCCTGGTAAACACTAAGTCAGTGACATGACCCACTGTTACTCAATGACAGGTTCAAGCGAATCTTCTCAGAGCCTCAGATTCCTCCACCAGTCAATTCCTCCATTTAGCAGGGATGTTCCCAGAGTCAGGTGGGAAAACAGGAGCAAAGTGACTTTGTACGAGTTGCACCACTAAAGGATCCCACGTGGAGCAAAAACTGTGTGGGGCGGAGATGGACTAACCTAGATCAGCAGGGAACCCGTCCCCACCATCCCAAAGCTTTCCTCATCTGTGAGATGGGGAAATGCCCCAACTTCACATGGTGGCCAGGCCAGCTCGGCCCAAATGGGCACCCTCAGAGCTCAGCAGCCACGGCTGTCACTGCCATTGCCTTTGGCTCAGTCCCTGCCAGAGCATCCTATTACCCTCAGAACAGTCGAGCCCCTTGGCCTGGTAACAGAAGCGATGTTAGGTCCGAAACCTGCCGTCCTATCCCCCAGGGCCCACGTGTGCCGCACCCCCAACCCCCAGAAGGAGGTGCTGCGTTTCCCCAGGTGCAACAGTGGATGAGGTGGTATAGACAAGCCCCATGAGAGATGTGTGCTGCATCTCTCTTTACAAAAGCAGGTGAGACTTGGGCAGGTTTGGCCCAATCCCTAACTTCTACCACAAAACTGTCACAAGGGTTAAAAGATCCATGGGGCACATTTAGGACAATGCCTGACACACAAGCACCAACAAATGGTGGGCTACATAATGAAAGACGAATTGAAACAGTGAATTTATGGGAAGAGGCACAAAGGAGATGTTCTATAGCTCGATCTGGTAAATGCACCCATACATAAAAAGTCATCAAGCTGCACACTTAAATGGAAGTATGTCAGTATCTATTATACCTCAGGTTTCTGGTAAGTTAAAAAAAAATGCACTGAATTTACCAAAACTCATGGTGGAAAAGCACTGGAGGGCAAGTTGGGGACCAATCTCAAGTCTTGCACTGACATGGATGTGCCGCCCTCTGGGCCCCTTGCCCCCGACTCCAGGAAGGGAAGAACCAACATGGTTTCTAACGGGGCCCTCCAGTGCGAGGGATCAGCCTGGAGAAGCCAGGTCCTCTGTGCCCCAGGGGCCTGGGCCGTCAGCCTCACTCAGCCAGGCAGCACTTCCCACACCGTCACAGGGCCTCCAACACACCTAAATCCCCACTTTCACCCCACCTGCTGCAGGGGTCAGCGAGCCAGTCTGCAGGCTGGATGAGGCCTGCCGCCCGCTTCTGTACAGCCTGCAAGCTGTCCCAAAGACGACTGCTATTCCATGGCACGTGGGAAACATGAAATCCAAATTTCAGCCACCACACACACCGAGGCGCATTGAACACAGCCATGCCCATTCACTCAGGTGGCGTCTGTGGCTGCTTTCACACACAGTGATAACGGCTGGCCAAGCCCTGGTCTGCTACATTATCTACCAATCAAAGACGACACTTAACACAGCTGTGGAGAATGGTCCAAAACACAGGATTCAAGGCAAACGCTGGGAGACGATAAAATGAGTGAATACCCAGGTGCCAGACCCCTCCCTGGGGAGCTTTGCTGACGTCTGCTGACACGCACCAGCATTGACAGGCACATACGGAGCCCTCTGGGGTCCTTGAGCTGTGAGGCCTCAAAGCAGAAACATGGCCCAGACCGTAAGCCCCTCAACTCCCCAGCACCTTCAGCCTGGTCCTGGCTCTGCCACGTACAAGCTGTGTGTCCTCAAGCAGGTCCCGGCCTGCTCCCCTGGGCCCCAGGCACCCCCTCTGCCAGGAGGAGCAGACCCAACTCGGAGGCCTGGGGGAAGCAGGGGGAAGACACATGCACTCCAAAGCACCTACCCCACGTCCTAAGCAGCTCCAGCAGGGCTGAAGAAGGGAAGGGTGGGCTATGGAAACAGGGCTGGGGGAGAAGGGGCCGTGACAGAAGCCCACTCACCAGGCACATAGACAGAGGGGTTCTCCGACATGCCAGGCAGCGGCTGGTAGTCATGAGGCCTGCGGATCTTCAGTGACTGGCCCTGGAAGATGATGCCATCGAAAGCCATGGCCTGGGTAGTCTCGTCCACTGAGCGGAACTGAATGGAAGAGAAGCATTTGTGAGGGCTAGGGGTCAGGGACTGGTCTACCCCAGGGGCTCTGTGACCAGGATTTCCTCTTTCAAACACGTGAACAAATACAATGTGCCAGGCCCCATGCTGGGCACTGGGAGGACAACATGTGTGTCCTTGCTTCTAGGAGTTCACACTCTAGTGAGATTACAGATACCAGCACTCAACACAAACACACAACTGCAAGCTGTGATGATGCTGAAAACGGACAAAGTACTGAAAGAGGATGTCATAGGAAAAATTAATTAAATGACGAAGTGATAGCACTGAAGTCTTTCTGATAAAGTGACATTTACAGCTGACATCCAGAGCAATGTGACTCAAAGCGGCCCGCAATGAGAGAATTGGAGAGGGAGCACGTAAAAACCTTTGCAGCAAGCTAACATCACTTCAACATCTTTACTATATTTTACAAGAGTATTCATGTGCCAGGAGTTGAAAAGTAAAAACCAAGATCCTCAGCAATCTGGGAGGCTGAGATAGGAGGATCACTTGAGGCCAGGAGTTTCAAGACCAGCCTGGGCAACATAGTAAGACCCCCATCTCCACAAAAATTTTTTTTAAAAATTGGTCTGGCGTGGTGGCATGCACCTGGAGTCCCAGCTACTGGAAAGGGTGAGGCAGGAGATTACTTGAGCTCAGGAGTTGAGGCTACAGTGAGCTACGATCACGCCACTGTACTCCAGCCTGGGCAAAGGAGCAAGACCCCCATCTCAAAAAATAAACATACATAAAATGAAAACCAAAGTCCACCCCCAGTTTCAGAAACACTAACAGGAAACGTTAGTAGCATTAGTTAGCTACAGTAAATAACCCTAGCAAAGTCCCGGGATGGGGAAGGTGTGTTCCAGGAAGGCCAGTATGGCCAGAGTGCCTAGGACTGGGCCAGAATGGTGTAGACAAGGCTGAAGAGGTCTGCAGAGGCCCCAAAGGCCTCCCAAAGCTTCCAGAGAGAACAAAAGAAGGCAGGAGGTAGCATCAGATTTGCAGAGCCCCTACAGAGCTCACTCTGGCAACTCTGCAGAGGGCCCCGGTGGGAACAGGCAGCACAAGGAAGCAGGACACATCACAGGACCAACGGACAGGTCTTCACACCACTTACACTTCCCTGGCCCCATCACTCTCCCAACTCACCTCCAAAAAGGCAAAATTCTTGTCTTGGTTAATCTGCACGGCCAAGACCGGGTTGCCAGGGGCCTGGGTCAGTCCCCCCAGGCGCATCTGGGCGTTGAAGAAATCCATCATGGCCTCCTGCAGAGGGAATAGGAGACAGGGAGGGGCAGGGGAAGGGAGGTGGAGAGAGGAGGGGGAGGGTGAGAGAGGGAGACACAGAGGGGTTTGGGGTAAGGGGAGAGGAACAAGGGGAGGGTGGAGGGGGAGGGGAAGGAACAGTGGAATATGGGTGGGGGTGTAGAGATCAATAGTAGGAATAAAAGCAAGAGGAAAACGAGAGAAAACCGGAAGGAAGCAGCAGCGAAAGACAGCCAAGGGCAGGACACGGACGGGTGTAGGGGAGAGCCACGGGGTCCCCAGAAAAATCAGAGGAAAGGAGAAAGATTGTTCAAGAAAAGACAAAGAGAAACGAAGACAATAGGGCAGAAAAAAGACATAAAACACAGAAAAGATGAGGAGACAGAACATACAGGAAGGAAGGAACACCCAGAGCAGACAGACAGGGAAATGGGGGGCAGTAGAAAAGGAGCAACAGGCAGGAGCAGAGAGGGCAGAAAGGGAGGTCGAAGGCGAGAGTGCAGGAGTGGGAGGGGAGGAAGGAGTGTGGGGAGGAAGGGCAGGGACGGGAGGGGAGGAGAAAAGAGTGATGTGGAGGAATCTGGCCCTGGAGTCCGGGGGCTGGTTTATCAAATGTAGCAAAGTGCAGGTTGAGAAAGTCAGAATGGACCTTACTTGCCTTCGACGATGGTAGCAAACTTTTTGTTGCTACGAGGGATCTCAGCCCCACAATATTTCACTTTAAAGAGAAATGGAAACAACTCTTTGATCTCGGGATTCTCAGGGGGTGCCACGGGAAGGGGTGGGGGAGAGGGGTGGGGGAGAGGAGCGGTGGGGAAGGGGGAGGTCAGGGGCGATCAAAAATAAAAGAACAGCGACCATGGGAGGGATGTGGGGGAGAGGATGGGGACAGGCGGCAGAGAACGAGAGGCGTGTCAGAAAAAAACTGAGGGGGGGAGCGTGCGTCTGTGTTTGTGTGTGTGTGTGAGTGTGTGTGTGTGTGTGTGTGTGTGTGTGTGTGTGTCCGAGTCTCCCTCTCTGTCTCTCTCCGACACGTAGGTACAACACGTAGGTACCATAGGTACGTTATGTGTGTGCTTGATCCCTGGGTTGCTGGAGGAGGTTAGGGGAGGGGAGACGGGAGAGGGGAAGAGGAGGGAGGGAGAGGGCCACCCCCAGCCCGGCCCCTGGCTGGCTCAACTCCATCGGTCCGTCTGGGAGGGGGCCGGGGGGTCTTGCAGGAGCAAAGTCTGACCCGTGCAGGTTGGGGGAGGGAATGGAGGGGAGGGGAGGAACAGGGTGGGGGAGCGAGGGAGAGGGGAGGGGCAGGGGGAGGGCAGTACCTCAGTGATGCCAAAGGGGATATTGCCCACGTAGAGGCGACGGGCCTGTCTGGTCATCTGGCTCCCGACCACAGGCACCGGCGTTGGGGTCACAGCCAGACCATCAGGGGTCATGGTGGGGAGAAGGGCAGTGGCTGGAATCTGACCCGCAGCTTCAGAAGGAGTAAAAACAGGATTAAACCACATCAGGACAACCATCGAGACCAGAGCTCAAGGACCACCCATCACACACCCTGAGAACTCTCCCTCCTCAGCTGAAAGCTCTTCAGGCTCTCAGCAGCACCCTCCAGAACCTTCTTCCCAGCATCAGAGGCCGCCACCCAGTGACTGCTGTGTCTAAGAAGCCATGTCTCCTACAAGTGTCCAGATGGAAGCCTCATCCCTCAGATCATATCCTCCTCCAGGGGCTTCAAAAGGGCAGAGGCCAGAAACCCCAGGGGTGTAACCTCCCCAAGCACACACACAGAAGAATAACTGATGGGGAGAATCACGCATGCCCCTGCCCTCTACCCTCCACTCTCTGGAGCAGCCCATCCGGGGCCTACCTTGCATGGCCTTGTACTGCATTGGGGTGATGTGCTCAAAGCCAGGGGGTGGCACGTCCCAATATTTACGGACTTTCTTCTTCTTCTCATGGCGAGGGGAACGACTGGGGAAGGGGGAGGGGAGAGCGGGGCAGGGCAACCTCAGTCTGACCAACAGTGGGCCCGTGAGCCCCTCCCAGGCGCCCCCTCAGCCCCCCACCACATAAGCTCCGCTCTCTCCAGGAGGGAGAAAATCAGGGACAGGGCTGGGCCCAGGCCTGGGGAGGGTGCTGGTTTCAAGTGCTTGGGCCAGGGCTGGATGTGGGCAGGGCAGGGGACACAGGGTGTGAGGAAGGTGAAGGGAGTGGACGTCAGGGTGGAAGGGGCAGGAAGAGAAGCTCACATCAATCCACCGTGCTCCTCTTTAGCGCCTCTGGTCAAAGGTTTGCTGGGGGGTGGGAGGGAAAGGTATGGGGAGGGGTGACTGGGGACCCTCGTCTTCCCCACACGCCACACCTCCCCCGGACACTGAGCCCGAGGGTCGGGCAGGGCCGAGGTGAACAAGCAGCGAGCAGGCCCCCTCGGCCCTGCCATTTCCCACCCCCCAACACCCCCACCCCAGGACAGAGGAAGTGAGGAAAGCAGGAAAGGGTCAGGACAGACTGCTCTCTAGCTGGAGAAACTGAGATGGGAGGAGGCAGGACTTCCACTCACCCTGCCCTTCCTCACCTAAGGGGGCAGAGAACAGAGAGGGGGACCTAGGGAGGGAAAAGGCATTAGAAAAACAGAAAACGGGCATCCCTGAGCTAGAAAGTAAGCCCAGGCCCCACTCCAAGAACTCCCTTTTCCTGGAAGGCAGGGAAGAAAGAAACTACAGACAGAGACCAATCCCCTTGAAGACAGTCCCACAGAGAACCACAGAGAGTCGAAAAGAAGAAACAGGACCTCAGAGTCAGGGACAGAGAACAGCCCCTTGTGAAGGAAAAGACAGAATCAATTTCCAGTCGCCACATAAAAACCTATTGCCCCCAGCAACCCAATGCACTACCAACAAAGAAAATGAAAGAAATCACAGAAACAGGGAAAAAACTGAATTCAAGACAGACCAAGCAGCAGATCCCTCCCCTGGATACACACAAAGAATGAGCCACAGAGGGCCCAGGCCCAGACACACACAGGCCACCAACTGAGCACAGTCATGGGCTGGCTGACACCCCCAACTCCCAGGCTGACCCAGCCGTGGACCCCAAACCCTGGTACCTTCGTCGCCGCCTGTCCCGGGAGGCACTCCGCTGGTCCCGGTTGCGCCGGTCCCGGCTCCGGCTCCGGCGTTTGCGGTCCCGGCTTCGAGAGCGGCTGTGGCTGCGCTTCCTGTGCCGATTCTCCTTGTCCCGCTCTGGGCAAGGGTGAGAGGAGGGGGAAGGGATGAGCAGAGGAAGGACGTGGGCCCAGCCCACCCTGCACACTGATGGCTATGCCCCGAGCCCCAGGGAGGCCACCCCCAAAGGGAAGGGACATAACAGGCCTCCTGGGTCCACAAGCGAGTCCAGGGACTCAGGGGACCAGGGGGACGGGGCCTGCAAATGTCCCCGGGGTGTAAGATACCTGAGGATGCTCAGGAGGAGCTGGGGAGCCAGAGAAGACAGAGGAGGCTGGCTCCTGGTCCCCCTCGAGGGCTGAGGGGCCTGACCCCAGGGTCGTCCCTGAGAGGGGCAGGGCTAGAGGCTGGGGAATCAAGAGACCCAATGATGTTTTCCTGAAGGGACCCAGCAACCCCTCAGGAAAGACCTCTGCAACCAGCTGGCACCCCCAGCCCCACCATCAGATCCAGGGGTCAGGTGCCAGGCAGGATCTGATATCCCCAAGAAGCAGGGAAACTCAACCCATCCCTTCCCAACCAGGTAAATAATACACGAGCACCCTCCCCCAGGGAGGGGCCTCTTTCTGAATCTGCAGACTGCGGGGAAGATGCCCCACCCTGCTTCAGCAGGTCAGAGGAGGAGTTTGCCCCACCCACACTTGAACCCCAAACCATCTGATCCTGCCTGCCTCACTCACTCCCTCAAAGCCAAGTACAGGAGGGGGTAGTAGAGCAGGGGTTTGTTCCCTAAACCCCTCTCATTTGCCTCCGAGGCGGCCACAATGAAGGGAGCCTTGCTAGCAAAACCACAGAAATCTCTGCTCCCACCAGACACTTCACCCTCTAAAGAAGGGAGATGGACCCTTACAGGGAGAGAATAAACCATGAGAACTGGGGATATTCATGAGCACCATCATATGTATTTCCTTAATTCAAAGGCACCTGATTTCTCAACTGTCCAACAGGCACACACAGGCAAAAAAAAAAAAAAAAAAAGATAAGCACATTAATGTGCTCATGTAATTTAACATGTATCTCCTAAGAGTGGTGATCCCTGGGGACAAGAGGAGGAAAAGGCAGTGAGGACAAAGTGTCAAAGCACACTTAAGCTTCACTCATAATATTTTATTTCATGTATTTTTCTGATGCCACACGAACTTTTTGTAAATGCATCTCAATTCCACCCACTAACACTCAAGAAAAATATGCAACCAGAAGAGAAAATAACTTAGTAACAAATACTGAGATGCTTCTTACAACTGAAATCTGTACTAAGTAGTTTTATTTATACTTAATCCTCACTACTGCTTTGGAAAAACACTGCTGGGGGCTCACAGAATAGATAAGAAAACTGAGACACAGAGCGATCACAACTTGCCCAAGCCCCAACAGCTAAGAAACAGTGAACTCTGAATTTAAACACTGCAATTTTAGTTAGTTAAGCACCAGGCCATACTCCTGAACGTGGCAGAACACTCCAGAGTCTGAGTGGAGCCACTAATGACAATGGAATTGTCTCCTAGAAGGCCCCTCCAAAAAAACCAAAAACTAGGATGGGGAGGGAAGAATCTGCAAGCCCCATCAGCAGTGTAGAGTAGTGGGGTAAGCACACAGGCATGGCACTGGGCACAGTGCTGGCTCCACGCTTGTAAGATGAGCAGACTGTGAGTCCCAAGAGCCTTTCCTGCTGCTAAGGCTCTGAAACAGACAAGCAAGCAGAGAGAGACCCACAGAGAGGCAATGAGGCCCACTGGGTGCCTGAAACATAGACAAGGCAATTCCCCGTAGACACAGGTAGCTGAGAAATGGACTGAAGCCAAGAGTTGCAGGGAGGCTGGCCTGCAGAGACAAAGACCTACGGGCAAGGTGACACATGGACAGAGCTTCCCCTCTATGGCAAGAACCCTCTCCCACACTGATGCTGCAAAGATGAGAACAGGGAGGGAGCTTCATTTGCTGTGTTGTGGTAAGCTTGTAGGAGGAGCTCCACCAATCCAGGAGCCCTGCCAGGTCTCAGGATCTGGCCTCTCAGAATCAGAGGGGAAAACCTGGGAGAACCAGAGCAACGTTATCTGAAACAGCCTCACAAAACAGCTCAATCAGCTCCACTTTGCGGTCCAGCACAGTTGAACTTGGCCTTGCACCCAGACAGAAGTCAGAATAAGTACGAGTGTTTCTGCTTACCAACTGTATAAAATCATGCAAAAAGTAACTTAATGTTTAAGATTTGATTTTCTCTTCTTTGAACAAGGGTCACCACATCTACTCTACCCAGATGTTGGGAGGACTTGCCAGAATAATGTTTGGAAAGCACATTTCCCTGCCCTTCCCCAACTCCAACGTCATCTCTACATGTGCCGAAAATCTGCCTTTCTACGTCCTCTCTAATCATGGGATTTCACAATAAATATCATGTACTAGGCACTTAGTGTATGCCAAGCCACACATTTTAGATGTTACTCCATTTAATCTCAGCTCTGCCTCTGACCAGCTGAAACATGAGAAAGTTTTAAATTTTCTGAGCCCTCAGTTTCTTCCCCATAAAGGCATGGAAACTATTTTGCCCTCAGAAGGCTGTTACAGTGATCTACTTAGAAAAATCTAGGGCCAGGCGTGGTGGCTCACGCCTGTAATCCTAGCACTCTGGAAGGCTGAGGCGGGCGGGTCGTTTGAGCTCAGGAGTT